ACATAACATGTCCACGGCAGTCCGTAATGGACATAGCATGTCCATGACTGGATTTTTTTCACGCAAAAAATATACGCCTTAATTAGATTGTTTAAGTTTGCCCGGATTGAATCTAGATCGATCCAATAGTCATGATTGCATTTTGTATTTGAATTTTAATTTTTTTCTTACAAATCCAAATCACTTAAAATTTTAAGTATCTATTTTTTTTAAAAAAATAAAGTCTAATAAAAAATAAAAAATATCATAAAAATCAGCTTTAGAACAACCTTTTTTTTATGTGTTTTTGAGGTGTGGTTTACTTCAATGGTATAAGGTTTACACCTTATATAAGTTTTTTCCTAAAGAAACATAAGGGATAAAGGAAGTCAATAAGAAAGAAATTGCAGATAAATGTAATTCATTATAGATAAAATAGAGAGTTGTGATTCCTTTAAGAAAAATTAGCAAGTGGAATGTTGGAATGTATCTTTTATGTGCAGAGAGATGCACATCTCAAGACAATTAGATGGTACTAGAGATTATTCAAATAACCAAGAAAAAAAAAAGACAAAAAAGAAAAAGATCTCACCTGAGGTTACTATCCCAAATACCCCTGTGCTAATAAAAAGCTCATAGATCACCCCAAGTTAAAAGATAAAAACGTTTGTGCCCTTTTGCATTGTCCAAATTACTTCATTGCCTCTTTTTTTTAATAACCTCATCATACAAAATTAAAGTTTGTGATGCCTCTTTTACCTTACTTGTAAGGATCACATCACAAATAAGAGAGAGAGAGAGAGATAAATATTAAGATAAGGTTGCTAGAAAGATAAAAGAGGAAGGGAGAGGAGAGATTAACAAGGTGATTAAAAAAGAAAGAGGGCAAATTCTATCCCAAAAAAAATTGCTCTCCAAAATAGTAGAAATACTAATTTTTCAGCACTTTCCCAAGAAAATAAATTTTCATGTAATCATCCCTTTCTATTTCTTTTAACTTGTCAGCGACACAAAACTTGTAAGATCATTATTTTCACTTTACAAACTTCTCTAGCATTTATATAGTCCTTCCACTCCCTCAGGCGAAATACCCACCCAGAGATTTGAAATTTTAGGAATCATTTTTTCGATCCACTAGCTGTAAATTTTTAATTAAAAAAATGATTTTGATCTTGCATACTCGGATCAAACCCAAAATTGGAAAGTCTTAGGGTGTGAAATTTCTCAGGCACTTTTAGGCCATGTTTGGTGACGGAAAAAACAGGAGAAAATGACGAGCATAAAAACAGCAAAGCCCCGTATTTCTCTGCGTTTCCATGCTTCTCCCAAATTTGGGGCTGCACCCCTCTATCCTCCTATTTTTCTGGTATAAGAGGTATGTAGAGAGACTTGGGGTGGTGGAGGAAGGCAGACAAGGGTGTTGAGCGGAGCTAGAGAAATAGATGAAGTCGAAAGATTGGTTTACAGAGAGAGGAGAATGGGTAATGTGGCCATTTGCCTCTCTGAGATAGTATAAGAATGGATGGCTTAAAACAGAGATGTCAAATCTCCAGAGAATTTGTCTTCATGTTCTTGGGACAACAGGGGTTTGTTCAATAAAACGATATTTCGAATATACAAAATTTTGAAAATCAAGATAAAGGCTTTGTTGGCTTTCCATATTGCTGGCGACATACCATCTAAAAATGTCTCTTTTTTGCCTGACAACCTACCTGGGTTTTGTTGGCTGATCATTTCATAATAGCCTCCATGTTGCAGCTCCTTTAGTAATTAGTAGCATGAAACTCCCATTAATATTACCGGCCGGTCATTCATGAGCATAATATGTTATAATATCAGGAACAACACCGCTGTTCAAGAGCTCCCTCATGGTATGCAGTAGTTTACGAGTTTTCCTACCTTCATACAAACCTGAAAGGTAACTGTATGAGTCATATTTTTTGGAAAGACATATCTTTCCACCATTTTATCGAACAATAAAAGAGCGTCTATGGTTTTACCAGCTTCTGCAAGCCCAGTAACCAGAATGTTAGAAGTCAAATGATTATGTTGATAATCCAACTCGACATCTGCTAATGAACAGCTGGGGAAACCTAGAGAACCCATTCATTGTAATACAGGGAATTGTATTGTAACGTAGCGAACCTACAATTGAACTTATCCATGTTGAACATTATACTGCCTTTTCAGCCATACCCACCTCATATATGCAGAAATCATGATTGTAAAATATGCAGCCTTACAGAGTCACATGGAGAAATGCTTTGGCCACCTCCTAAATCTTTCTTTATGCAGCGAATACCATCAATTACTTCGCTTTAAGCAGAATTACCCAAAGCCTAATCTTCTTTAGGACCCCATGTGGGACATCTCTATCATCTTGGTAGTTGCTCATTTTACAGTAAACCAAGCTCAGCGAGAGATATGTTGCCCTCATATACATGATAAGAAGAAACATTCCATCATATAGCAGTCGCATTCTCACCTGTTGAACAAAACCCTCTAATCAAAATGGTCCAAAAAACACAATCAACTAAACCACGTTTAGTTGTTCTCTTGAGCAAGTGAATGTCTCCCTGAAGCATAGATTTGTTAGAAGACATCATACGGGGTAATCCAAGTAACACCATTTTCTTCGAGTGTTGCAAACTAGCAATAGCTTCTGCAAACGTCCATCTACCAAGAAAGTAAAACTTGCTGATCTGGGTTAAAACTATAATCTATCCTGTCCTCAAGTCTAATTGCATCAACAATTTTACAAGTTTCACAAAAGCTCTGGTTGGGAGAGACTTGAGAGAAATCCCAAAATCAAAGAGAGTCCTCAACTAAGTTAACTCCCACCTTGCCCTGGAGAAGAGTGTAAAGAGAGAGCTTGAAGTTTCATCCACAGTGACTGAAGGAGCACATGCTACTAAATCCTTCGAATGCTTCGGATCAAATAAACAATAGTTGACAACAGCAAAAGAGTCGATGGTCTCACCAAGATCAATAGCTACCCTGTCAAGCTCATAAGCCTGGATATCCTTGGCTAAAAGGCTTATGAACCCATCCTAGTTATTGGATACCATCAGATTGCAGGCATGAAAATGAGAAATATGGGTTAAAGGTTGCACTTCTTGTATCTATGACATTAGGCACATCATCGCTAAAGCTCTGGTTGCTTTGTACAAGCAAAACATTAATGAACAAATAATACAGAGAGAGGGGGGCATTAGATATGAAGAGTAGAGATAGAAATAGAGGCGAACACTTAAACACTAATATAAAGCTCAAGATTGATCATGTCTCTCAAGGAAAAAAAATCTCATGTTATTCTCTTAAACGCTGTAAACAAAATAGTAATAGGATAGAACAACAACGTATACACTCCGAAAGAGTGAATCATGTATCTATGATTCACACTTCTTGTATCTATGACATTAGGCACATCATCGCTAAAGCTCTGGTTGCTTTGTACAAGCAAAACATTAATGAACAAACAATACAGAGAGAGGGGGGATTAGATAAGAAGAGTAGAGATAGAAATAGAGGCGAACACTTAAACACTAATATAAAGCTCAAGATTGATCATGTCTCTCAAGGAAAAAAAATCTCATGTTATTCTATTAAACGCTGTAAACAAAATAGTAATAGGATAGAACAACAACATATACACTCCGAAAGAGTGAATCATATCATCCATAATCAAGTACTCAAATATAAATATAAGAGAACCTTGAACATTTATGACACAGCGCATAATTGTACCATACAATGTATTGACAAAAGTACTGCAAAAAACTAAAGGAAAATAAGAACACGTGAAAGAGCAGCTTTGATCAACGAATTAAATTTCAGAGTAAAGTAAACAATGAGGGAATTTACAAAATAAAACAGGAAAGAATTACCACAGGGCCTCGACTGGAGATCGAGAATCATTAAAGTTACAACTATTGGTACAAGGAGCCTCGGCTCCACCTGCTTTTGTTTTCTATTTTCCTTTACTCCTATTTTTACTTCTTACCTCGGCTCACTCCCCATATCCTAATTGTCCGGTCATCGCTCGCTGAAGCAAACATCTGTGGGTTCATGGGGTTCCAACTCACGCAATTAACAGTGCTCGAGTGACCACCCAGGACCTCTATCAGCTCACAATTACGCCGGTGCCATATATAAATCTGTCCCAGAAACGGGGGAACTTTGGTCAGTCAAAGAAAAACCCAGAGGAACAAAGATACAACCTTTGGTAACTCTTTTCCTATGAGACAAAATTCCACATTAGGATAGTAAAATTGATGGCATTTTGGAAGAGAAACAAAGACAACATTAAGTCGAAAAAGACAACCTTTTTGTCATTTTAGGACAGATTGGAAGCTCAATAAAATCCAGAAAAATAAGGTTTTCATTCTACTAATTGCTTGAGGAAAAGATGGTGATATAGAATGGTATAAGGTACTCCAAAAGGGCAATCACGGTCCATTCCATTTTCAGTGATTGATCGTAAAGACTAACTAAACCTGGGTTTACCCAGGTGGGCGCGCAGCTCCTTTAGAGTACCATATACCATACTCAACAGGTTTGCAGTACCTCCTAAAAGAAAATGGAACTGCTATTTGATCCCACATTTTTGCTAATACACCTAAATACATGAATGGCTACACTTCATTAATATTCGTTATCCCACCAAAATTTCAGGGCAAATTACAAAAACATGGGGCTCGAATGGCACTTTCTGAACTTAAAATAACTGAGTACTAGGAATCAAACATACGCACCTGCGAGTCCTCACTCCCACTAGCTATGAATGCATGGTCCAACCCTCCAAAACATGAGCGTATCACATACCGGCTCTGCCTGTGTCCCCTAAACCTCGAGGGATCCCCCAATCTCCCAGCCAAATCCCACATATGTATCTCTTGATTGTTAAGGTTCACAAGAATAAACTCCCCATCTCTCGAAACAGAGAGAGATGTAATCGGTTGCTCCTCTTCAATGACTCTCTCACTCTTCGACCCAAGTGCATAAATCCTTATATCTTTCTCTGCACAAATTCCAACCAAGTGTGCCCCATCAGGGGTGACAGCGAGATCAGAGACCTTGGGCATGCGTGGGCCCCGCCATGCATCGAGCTCACGACCTTCAATGTCCCAAGTATAGATACAATTGTCACATCCTCCAGAAAAGCGGCGAGAGTCAGGGAACCATGCACAAGAGGTGACCCCGGAGCTCCCCTTTCCAAAGGTGAGAGTGCACATGCCGGTTCCCACGCTCCATAGGCGGAGGGCCTCACCCATGCCACATGTTAGAAGCATGGTGTCGTCGGGGCTCCATGAAACATAGGAGACTGGGTTTTGGTGACCAGTCAGCCTGTGCTTTAGGGAGACCGCGCCATCATTCGAGACCTGTGGCTGATGTATGATTAATCTCTGTTGGGGAGAAAGAGATGGGAGGGGGGGAGAGAGAGAAACTTTGAAACCCCATTTTTTGAGAAAGAAAAATTGTTTTGTACAAACGGGGGCTAAGAATTCCACTAATTTGTTAATGTCATAAATGAGTTCCTTACAGTCAAATTTTTTTTGTTTCCTGATAAATTAAAGCTTTTTACAAATTGATAACATAAACAAATAACTATCACTAGATATATTTAAGTATCCCTTGTAGACAGTTCATGGAATGTGGTGGAACATTCAAAGCCCCCTTGGGCCAATGATAAAGAACTGTTTATCCCAAAATCTCTAGGATATTCAATCAAATAAAGGATAAGTGACTAGCATAACAAATAATTTCTCCAACATTGAGTAACTTGCTGCAAGAAGTGGTAAAGTAAAAGATTAGGTTAGAAAATCTAGAAAGGACATGAGGTTGTATGCCCTTTCGTCCAGGGAAGGAAAAAAAGAGTCTAAATCAAAGAAACTTATGAAGTACATATAAAATAAAAGTAAGAAAACATAGCATGTACACTACAGAGAAGAAAGTGCTGAATACAAGTCAGACACATGCCTGGCACTGTAGCATTTTTCGCACACAATTCACCTACTCAACTAAATCTCCAAATGACAGATTTAACCTCCTCTTCCTTCTGAAAATTCTAAAAGCCCAAGCCTCCAAATCCTCCAAAATATAAAAAAACCACAAAAAATTGTTCCCTAAGCCCCATTCATGACTTGTCAATAACCTACTTGCACAGCACAGAAGATTTCAATGCTGGACACATCTCCCAACCTACTTTGAGCATAATGATCGTTTAATGCCATTCAACGCATGACCCCGAACCAGTTTATTGCTCAGATTACTAGAGCAGTCTCTTATAAGATATTAACTTCCCCAAATTAAAAATTGGCATGAATATAGCACATAATTAGTGAAACATGTTGCAAGCTACTTGGCCTCCATATATTTTTCCTTTCTCTTTTTCTCTAACTGCCTCCAAAATAGTAATGCAGCTGAATCTCACATCAACGAAATTAAAAGACAATAAAGAAAAGGTTATGTTACCTTGGTTTTATTGTTGACACTAACTTCACGGATTAGAATACTAGAACTCCCTCATGCGAAGAGTTCTCCTTTTTCCTATTTTTTGGAAGATTTCTAGAAGATGCTACACTCCTCATCACATAAAAGGCCTAGTTTTTTAAAATTATAAAGGATGCAGTTCCTTAATATTAGATGGGATAGATTTACAGAATGCTTAGCTTCCAAGTTAAGTAAGATAATAGATTCCTACTGCAATAAAAAAAGAACGACGCCCACGGCCATTTCTTTAAAAGAGTTGATCCCATCTTGAGATGTTTATGTCTCTTTTCTATGGTGTTGACTCCATGGACCCTAGTTTTGGGTTGGTGTTGACGCCAATACAATTCTAGTTCTCCTAATATGAATAAGGTGTTAGATTCCTTATATAAGTAAAAGAAGTTCCTCTTCCCCCCTCTTTTCCCACTTTTTTTCGCTCTCTCCAGCCACTCCCTCAAAACTTTAAGCAAACCCCACCTCCAGTATCCCAGAAGCTCTTTTAAAAACCAGCTCCCAAGAAACTCTACCCATATGCCATTCCTAGTATTTTCCATCTCGAAACAACCCCCGGATTCCCTCCTTTGATCCATGTAGCTTGATGGGCCAATAAACTTCAACAAATTTATCTTATATTAAACCTTTTAACTCAAACCCTAATGTTTACCTTAATCTGATCAAATTCTCCCCTATAGATCTGCCCTAAGTACTAAACCCTTTATGCCTCCTATCATGCAACCCTAAGCAAAATAGGAGACCTTAAGCTACTCTAAAGCATGCTGAACATAAACCTTCAATGTAGCCCACGAAGCCATTGCCACGCTCTGTGTAGGATCCAGGCACCCCTCCTCCCAAAGGGATGCGCTTTCAGTTGCAATTATTGGATGAAATAAATTCATGAGGAGAAAAAAATAAAAAATGGATCTAATGAACATCATGTGAGAAATTTTCTATAAATTGGTTGAAGAAAGAGCTGCTACAAATCAGCCCACCACCAATCCCAGTAGCCAAGAAAGAAAACAAGAGAATGAGTTTCAAAAAGAGCACATCAATGATTCTCCTCCTTCCTCCCAAAGGTGTGAATGGTACAATTCCTCAAGAGTTGGATTCAACTTGAAGGGCAACCGAGACAAACCCTTTATTGGATGGACAGCTTCCAGTCCGCAACCAACAAGAGAACTCTAATCATAGAAGCAAAAACAGCCTGCCATCCACCAAGGCGTGCCTTCCTGAGTGATTGCCTAGGCGCTCCGCCTAATCGCCCCTTGCCCGAGGGCAAAAATTGCCCTCGGCCAAGTGGCAAATTCATCAAGTTTTACCCTCTAAAGGAAACTTGTGAAAAATAACACCAAACCTCACTTTATTAGATTGATTGTGAGCTATGAAGAGACATTCTAAGACTGTCTAGGACTGGTTGAGGTATTGTGATTGTATTTTGGGGTGTATATAATTGATTTATCTTGGTCTATGCAAGTCAAAAGCTTGCTGGAATTTGAAGTTTAATGGTGTATTTGGACTTGTAATAAAAGAAAAGACTTTATGTATCTTGAGTGCAGCGCTTATACACTCCAACAAGCAGGAGGCTGTTGAGCCCCAGTAACTTGCCAGAGTCCGAGTCAACACAGGCGAGTTCTTGAACACTGAATAGGATATAATTATCCTATAATCTTAATTCAGTAAAAGAAAAAAACTAAGTAAAAGAAGGTATACAACAAGGCCATAGTAAATAGTAAATCAGTGCCAATCTGTAATTGATATTGATAAAATGTATTCCATCCACATAGATAAAGCATGTTTGTCTAAATATAAAGCACCCCTTTTTATAATAAACATCTACAAGAAACCATTATCACAAATAAAAAGTGGTAATACAATGTTCTGAAAGAAATATGAATGAATTCCAAACAAAGTGCATGCAACATTTCCAAAACACATGATACTGTATAGAATATATGACTCACCATCCATATTATGGCAGTACAATCTCTCGACGACGAAGCCAAGTACTTCCCTTTATTTGAAAACTGTAAATACCAGACTTCATCCTCATGATCGTCTAATACCTGTTACAAACAGGTGGTTATTGTTAGGCCCGTTTGCACACCTAAAACCTAAGATACCTAGTAATAATGAGGAAAATAATTAACAAATCTATAACAGCTTTAACATACATGCTTGCAAAGTCTGGTCAGCAATTGCACAATCTCATCAAATTTATCAACATGAGAAAATGAATTAAGTTGGAAAGAGCCAAGCATTGTGTCCATAAGCCACGCAAAAACTTATTCGTTGTTTATTTTTCTCTTCTTTTTTTTCTTTTTCGGTCCGTTGATAAGTACAATGAAAATCTAAAAAGAGAACCAAGGTGGCCAAAAACTTTGCAGCTAAAGGAATATTATGGATGTCCCAATCAATAACAAGTTCCAAAATTAGGTAGTATGGGATCAATGGGAGTACAAATTTTTTGTTAAATCCTCAGAAGGAACGTAAAGAATAGAATTATGATTCCAAGTAAATATAAGATAAGAGCATAGTCCAACAAGCTAAGTGGATGTGGGACACACCTGATTTGGCTCACCTCGGGCATTCCCAGAGGAACGTATTTGGAGCCAATCAACGAGACAAAATAAAAAGCCTCGAGCAGTTCTGTGTATGACTAGTCTGATTCTATCTAAACCTGTACCTAAGTAAGACTCGTCAGGTCTTGACAACTCACTGGTTCCTTTTAAAACTGTTTGCAACAGACTGTTTCCTTCTATAGAAAAATTTCCAGAAATGTTAGATAGATTTGGCAAGATTTGTGGATTTCAATCACCAAGATAGGAAAGATTCATAATTTCTTGTTTCTTACCTGAATATATGCACCTAGTATGACGACTTTATGCAAAACGTTTGTTAGCTTTTTCATCATAATTTTAGGAACTTCTGATATTGCAATACCCAATCTTGTTTGAAACCATGCGAAAATTGTAGGAATTCAATGCTCTAAGAGTTTTGTTCGAATTATTGGCACCTCATAAAATATTGGAAATTTTTAGGATTTTTATCTAGAATGTTGGAAAGAACACTGAGGGCATTAAAGATGTCAAAAATTTCATATAAAAAAATGTTATTCAGGTGTCAGGGATAATGTTTTATATTAATCACCCATGTGATTACATTTACTGAATCCCCCTCAATCAGTAAGTCCTTCCAATTTGGATCCAAAGACGTTAAGCCCGTGAGCAAAGAGCATGCTTCAGGTTCATTGAGATCCCATTATGACAAAGGGCCTGAAAAGCTTTTTAATAATCTACCTAAACGTACCCGTAATGCCCCACCAATGCAGGCTACACCATGGTCAGCCTGAATGCTTCTAACAAAGTTGAGTTTCACTCTACCGCTCTTTCCATTTAGAATGTTTTGTAATCCTGGTTTGTGCCTCCTACAAATAATTTTCCGAATCAATAACAGTATAACCCCAGAATTCTATGCTAGCAGCAGCCCAGGTTATAATTGTAGTTTTGAACAGTTTCCTATTATTCCAGCCATACTTCGCACAACATAACATTCAAATTTAGTCTCGAAAGCATTACACCAAAGGTTTGGCAACTGAGCGCAAATCCCTGCTTAACCAGAGTTTTGACTAATTAACACAGCACCAACTGTATATTAACACTTAGTCACCACTGCATTCCAGAAGATCACTAGGATATTGAAAGCCAATCAAGTAGAATCCTACACCTCACTAAACCTATCTCATAATAATGCCTCACCTAAAAAATTTTGTGATTAATTTATGGAAGGGTTAACTTATCATGTATCTCTAAATATTTATAAATATTTTTCTCATCTTTTGATAAATCGTTACAAATACTTTTTTCTAACAAATGGCCTAGATTATATCCAATATTCTTGCAACCCCCAATTATAGGATTTTTCTGGTTTACTTTTTTTTTCAATTTTCTAAAAGTTCTTTTCTCATTCTTATATCATTTTATAAGTTTTCATGCTTTTGTCAACATTAACTTCGTCCAAGACACAAGTCGACTCACCATTTGGCCTCTCCACTTCCCGCATGGTTTTGGGTTTTAAAACACCGGTTAAGAGTCTCTGCAAAAAGTCTGAGACAATGCCCACACATTCAGTGGTTAACTGCAGTCAATAGATATTTTCCTTCTCCAGTCTATATAACCATGACCAATTGTTCAGTTAATCTTTGAAGGATAATTTTTTCTTAGTGACAAGGATTTATATGGATTCCAACAGGCTGCAAGACTTTCATTTGAGATACTTCTCATAGTTACTGCAGTAAAATGTGTGCTTGTTTATATCGATATCCCTCAAAAGGCCCTAATCTTTCATTCCTTCAATATTCTAGAAACTTCCAATATTTCATTATTTTGGTTCCAATCCTTCATAATCCACTCTTAGTGTTTGATTTCTAAAATTTGGAGTTAAAGAACTTAAAAATAGTCTATCCCTCCATCTTCCAAAAGACAGTCACCGGTCACAAGTGACATCCTCAAACTCATGATCTTGGACCAAAATAGCTCAAAACAAAAAGGGGACATATTTCATATGGAATTCTACGCATCTAACAAAAGGCCTATCATCACCAATCAAAAGAAATGAGATTATAGCTAGACTAGCTTTCTTATTAGTGCATGCATAGTGGAAATCCCAGAAGGAGATCAATAAAATAATTAGTCACCACCATCAACAAAATCTGAACAATCGGTGCAGCGACTCTTCTACCATCTCTCCTCTTATGGGAGTGACAAGTATTGTTAAGAAACATCACCCCTGAAGGAACACAAGGTATCGCCTAATACTTGTTCAGTTTACACCAAGTTAAACTTCCAATGAAAAATATAATCTTCCCTCCCTTATCTGCCATTCAGAAAGGTCCCTTATAACTCTACAACACTTAAATCATCAACCCAGCAAATGCATCCCTGGATGCATTGGCAGACAGTGCGACTCTTCCCATTACAAAAACCTGGAAAAAAAAAAAAAAACACTTTCGACAATAACTCTTCTGCAGTCGATCAAACGAAGCATCATTTGTGGGGGATAACTGCGGATATCCGCAAGCTTAATGTCTGGGGCATGGGATATTCCTGGCCAATTCTTCACCCTTCTAAAAATACTCTTAAAGATTAAAATTGCCAAATCTAAGTTATATGTCATTAAACCCAATACCTGGAAAGCAAGCATGTACCATAATTATCAAAGCACATTCTAATTTGCAAGTCCATCATCAATCAACGATAATTCAAACACAATCAGGAAAAAAGAGGACCAAGGAATATTATAATTAATAGCAGGAGAATCCACTGAGGAACCAAAAATAAAACAAAAATGTTGCAAAATATTCCAAGATCAGTTTTCAAACACACCCTAATGAACAAAGATACTTCAATAACACTGAAAACAATCAATTCAAGCTTCCCTTTCTAAATTACTTAAACTGACCTGCAAAGTTTCAGTTGGGATCTGGTCTCGACCACATCGGTGATCTGAGTAAAGAGAGAGAACATCAACAACTGAATTGTGATAAACGCATGACTCCCTCTGCACTTCAAGGGCCATCTCAATCAGATGCTCTAACCTCCTCTCAGGGAGTATCACCTCAGGTGGAAGGACTCTCTGCAACTCCATTAACAGATCAACCCTAGCTTCCGAAGAGCCTTTATCTACAGCACCAAAATCCTCACAAAATTTAGGCCACACGACACAGCAAGCGAGCTCTCGGACCCTTTCACCATTAATCCTTAGTGGTGCAATTCGACACTGTAAAACCTTCAAAGCCAAAGAAATGTCCCCTTTATTCAAAAATTCGAAGAATTCTTGCTCTAAAATGAGGAAAAGAGCTGCCTTTCTGGTCTCTAACCCTATATTATTAATCTTGTGCAGAGCTTCTATGCTCTCTTCCCATTTGGCTTCAAGAATTAGCGTTTTGAACAACGTAAAATCAGGAGAGTGGAGAGCGATGCCCGATTCTTCTTCTAAGAGAGATGCAGCTTTACTGTAACCCAAGGAATAGAGAGACTGGATCAAAACCCTAATGAATTCATACGTCCTTATGAGCCCTGTTGAACCCAGTGTCTGTAGAGGAAAATCATCCATGGAATTTGAGATTGTGAATTTTTTGGGGCGCTTTTGTGGCGATAGGACCTGCACTTCACCATCTCTCGTATTGCCCATTCTTTCTTCCCATGCGCTTCTCTCTCTTCAACTTCTATTCTAGTTGCTTGGTGGGTTCAGATATCATTTCTGAATTCTCTTTGTTCTCTGTGGACCCAAAGAAAACCCTAGATTTTTCTCTGCAGAATGGCCCCAAAGATTGATCCCGCGGGAGCATATCATCCATTATCTTAGAAAAAAAACAACAGATGCTCCCGCAGGAGCATAACTTCCATTACTTTTCATAGATTGCGTACCATGGGGTATTTAGTTTGGGTGTGGTTTTCATAAGATTGCAACCTTAAACAATCCAATTACGGCGCACCTCTAAATTTTATTATAAATATAATTTTGATATTACAAGTCTTAGGATGGCTTTAAGAATCTATTTTAATCTCTAATTATAAAATTTTAAACTCTAAAAAATAGTCCAACTCAAATAGATCTATAAACACGTGAAAATCTTGAAAATGGACGGTTCAGATAATGTGTTGCAAAATATACTATTATTTTGTGGACTCCAAATCCTTTTTTTCTTTTCATATCCACATATCTCGATGTTGAGATGATCAATTGGAGGGTTTTTTAACATCCAGACAATATTTATGATGGTTTTTTGAGGTGCACCTTTAATTCTATATTTTAATGTTGCAACCTGATATAAACTTTTTCCATTTAGTTTTGGTAATGGATGTGAAATCCAAGCGAAAGTGAGTCACATGCATTCAAGAAATTTTATTTTCGATTTTATACCCAAACAATGATACATCCTCAATCACCTGATTTTAAATTTAATAGTCAATAATGATTGTGACCTCCTTGTATTAAAACTAAATCTCATTGAGCTCGAAATTTGTGGTTATGACCTCAACAACCTAGCACTTGCAAAAACGTTTCAACAAGAAATCCAAATCAGCTCGAGAAAACATAATTCCATGGGAGAAATCCTCTTTAGTGGCACCTTCACCCGAAGAGTATATATTTAGGAATCGTATACTATAAGACTATTTATTTTCAAAAAAAAGTTAAGGCAAGGCCAAGACTTTAGAGGAAAAAGAAGAAAAATCTCATGTTAAAATTCACCAAAAAAAAATAGTTATGGTGTCGAAAACCCTTTGAATCGATCATCTCGACCTTGATCATTATATTATAAGAAAAATTAGGATTTTAAATCTTAAAAATAGTGGTCATTATAACATATGATCAAAACCACCATTTTCAAGTGTTCATTGATCCACAAGATCTGTACCAACTACAAATTTCATATTTGGTAGTGGAAATAGATTTGAAAGTCATCTTAGGGATTTCTCATGCCCTAAGAATTTTTTAAACAAGATTTCGAAGTGAGGTTTTATCTTCTTCACAAGGCCTAGGGCTTATAGAAACTGTATCCTTTATTTCTTGTACAAGGAGGTTGCAATCCTCTTTTACCATTGGATGTGAAATCCAACAAATAGAAATATGCAGAAAGTTAGAACTTTAGAATGATACTCTAGAGCCTATAGGTTTGAATATAGCTGGACTAAGACATAATATATGAAATATAAGTTTTGTAATAATAAGAATAGAGACAAGGAAGTAGTTAAGATTGACGGCCAAAAAATACAAAAAAAAATGTACTTTCGATATCTTGGGTCGATAATCCAGGAAAATAAAGAGTTTGGGGAATATGTCACACATAGAATTAAAGTTGTGTGGGCGAAGTGGAGACATGTAACCGGAGTTTTATACGATCGCAGCATACCAATGAAGATGAAGGGTAAGTTCTATAAGACACTTACGAGATCAATTTTACTTTGTGGGGTAGAATGTTAGGTGTTCAAGAAACAATATATTCATAGAATGAGTGTAGCTAATATGAAGATGTTGAGATGGATGAGTGGACAAACAAAAAGAGATAAAATTTGAAATGAATACATTCAGGAGAATTTAGGTGTGGCACCAATAGAAGATAATATGAGAGAAAATAGGTAGGTTGGTCATATGTGGTGCAAACTCAATACAACACATGTTAAGGGTTTGGCACTGACTTAGTACAACACCTATTAGGAGGTGTGGGTTAGTTCAAGTTGAAGGCCCAAAAAGTACAAGGGGTAGGCGCAAAAGGATATGGTTGGAAGTAGTGAGAAAATATAAGGGGACTTATAGCCTCACTGAGGGGATAGCTCTTAACAAAGCAGAATGACAGACCAGAATTCCTGTAATCGACCCCAATTAGTTGGAAAAAAGGCTTCCATGATGATGATCGAAAAATTTTACTTTGGACATTGTGCCTAGCCAATGACATATCTCCAACCATGTAATGTTACATCTAATGGTCAACAACAATTGTAATCTTCCTTATATAAAAAATAATTGGCCTAATATATAAAGGGAGCAGTTTGTATGGAGTCGAGGCTATAAACAATCAAAGGAAAGTGAACGTTCAAATAGTATCGTAAGATGTTATTTCAATACTGAAATCTTTGTGATGGCCTAAAAATTTATTTTCATCTCTAGTTATAAAATTTAAAATTTTTAAAGTAGTGTAGATCAAGTAGATCTATGAACACTTGAAAATCTTGAAAATTGGTGATCCAAAAATGCATTACAAGATGCACTATTACTAAGACTCGAAATCCATTTTTTCTTATGTCCATACATCTTGAGGTTGGGATGATCAATTTGAGGATTTTTGGGGCTTCAAAACAACATCTTTTAGTGATATTTTGAGGTGCACACTAAAATGATTGTTTGGAGCCTCAACTTTATATAAAATATTCCCATATATAAATCTCCCTAGGATGTACAATGTAACGCCGTGGGAGTTCTTGATTTTTGCAAGCAAACTATGGGCTTCCGAGAGAAAACGACAAGAGAGAGTGTACCATATCGAGGATGTACTATTATTGGGAATGGACAGTTCCAATCTTTTAATAATGTTTCATGTTTTATATCCCCACTATATTAGGGGAATGATCTTTGTACCATGAGAAATGTATTGGGTTCTATGGCAGTATCAGTCCAAAACCTCATTATAGAGATTGATGGAGAACACTTCCTATTGCTAGATGCTACATTAGGGGGGTTCGAAAAATAGCACAAGAGTTGATGATTTTGAAAACTTTAAATGGATGGGCTCAGAGTTTGAAACCAGAGGAACAAACTCAATAAAAATGCCACTCTCTCTTATCCCCTCCAAACATCACAACAAAAAAACAAAAAAAAAAAACTTTTTCATCAAGCTAGAATCTCATAGCATCTATCATTTCTCTCTCTCTCTTTTCATGGATGAATCATTTCTCTATTCATTATTAACCATTATTGACAAGAAGCACCAATCAAACACAAAAAGGATAGTATAAAGAGGAATATTGGGACACGAAGAACTCATCAACCATTTGCCTCGTAGAATCAATGGAACAATTCAAAGTGACATGTTAAACCTCCAAATGATTGGTCACAAATCACAATTTATCAAATTAAATGTACCCTAAAAAATCTATCTCAACGATCAAGGTTTATCTATGCAACTTATCTTCTTATTTCTTGAAAAAGTGATACTAAAAGTAGAGACTGCTATATACATCAGCCATTACAGGCATAAGTTCACATCTCACCTTCGATTATCCAAACTCATAAGTTTCACTTTCGCCCTAGTTGGCTGACACAATAAGGCTAGACAATTTTGACATACAATGACTGATGGGAGTGGCTGAACACAATTATTATGGTGAAAGAATCTTGGCATTTAACAGTTGTAAAAAAGAAATTGAGGAGATTGAACAAGGCTCTTGAGTTTGTGCTTCCTTTTATCCAATTCTGCCAAAGGAAGTCACTTATCATTTGAGAGCATCATTTTCAAAGAATCAACAACTGGTTTCGACTAAGCCCTTGTTTCAATCAAGAAATTCATTTTTATGCTAGCCTTTCATAAAAATACTAGAGATAGGAACTTTTCTTCTCACTAATCGCCAATTTGCATGGAAAATGAGAAAAGCCTTTAGAGAAACCCACCCAGTGGAGAGAGAACTATGAAGTTTTCAATTTTCATAAAGTCTACCTTGAAACTGTGAAGAACCCATAATCCAAAAGCTTCGTTTTTTTTTAAATGCCCATGCCCACCTAGAAGTCAGGGAGAGAGGAATGAATTGTAATAACGAAATAATTATAATTTTGGGAGATACCTATCCAAGAGAGAAAGACAAATTGTATTTTTTTACAAGCATGATGATGGATCTAAATCAATTTCCATCGCCAATAACAAAATTTGAAACTCAAAAAATGGTATTGATCTTGCAGATCTATGAACACTTAATTTTAAAGTGAAATTAATTTGTTAAAGTTTGAACAATTTTATTGACAAGTTACCGTTTGAGTTTTGGGAAGAACGCGTTGGATTCTAAATTTTTTGTTTTTATGGTTAATGGATCTTGAATTTGATGATGGGTTTTCATGGGTCTTTTTGATTTTTCTCTTTATTATGGGTGTGATTGTCTACTTCTTGTATACTAGTTTGCTCAGTGTTGATCTTGTTGGTAATTATGAATTGATCTGTTAAACATACAATGAATTGAGGCTCTTTGTTATCCTTGGAAGTCATCGAATTTGAGGGTGCGATTTTTTTAAATTTCTCACATTCGTTGTTTCTTTTTCTCTTTTGATGGCGGAATGAATTCTATTTCATAATGCTGGTATTTTCTTTTTCTTGTTGATGTGGTTATAGTTTTCTTTTGTTCTGGTTTGCTAAGTGTTTTTCTTTCTCCATTTGTGATTGCAATTTTCTTATGCATTCCCTTAAAATTAAAGGGGAATATTAGTAGTTTGGAATTTATTATTTCTCTACGAGTTTGTTGCATCCATTTATTCATCTTTTATTGCATGTTTATTTACATAATTCTGCATGTTTATTTACATAATTCTTCTTCATTTTTTATTGCATGTCTATTTACATAATTCTTCAATGGACTGAACTAAAGAAGCTTTTCAACGACCATGTAATCCTTTGATTTATTTTATTTTTGTTACATTCATTTATTCATCTTTTATTGCATGTTTATTTACATAATTCTTCTTCATCTTTTATTGCATGTTTATTTACATAATTCTTCAATGGACTGAAACTAAAGAAGCTTTTCAACGACCATGTAATCCTTTGATTTATTTTAT